TAATTTCCCCCAAAATATTGGGAACATTTTCCACCAGCTACCAAGGCAGCGAGTCTTTCTCTATGTTTATCTAAAGATTTATCTATATGTTCTTCTGCATGTTTATCTGGTTCTTTGAGCATTTGTTCGATGAGTTCATCGCATTCCATAATGTAATACCTAAGGAGATATTTAAATCTAACATAATAAAATATGGCATATCTAATACAGCCCCTAATAATAAACTGTTGCGAAAGAACGTTTACAATGCTTCGTTTCCGCTAACAGTTTTCTGACTTTATCTCGTTCGGGCTTGGTATAAATAACATTATTTTGGCGTAGACATTCCTCAAATGAATCTCGGTCTTGGCAATGATACAAGGCTACCCATTTGGTCTGCTCTCTGAGATCTTTCAGGACAGAGTTGTATTTTTGAGTAAGTACCCAAACGCTATGCTGAGTATGCTGTCCAGAGAATGCTAAATATGAAAGCATATCTTTCTTTTTGGAAAGTTCTTTACTCGCACTGCAGTCATCTATTATGAAAAGGGTTGATTCTCCTTTGTATTTTTTGTGACATACTCGTAAACAGTCTTTAAACGATCGCCCGGATCAACTCTGTGCACCCAGGGATCATTCATTACCCAATCTCTCGATAGGTATGTTTTATTAACGCTTATAGTCGGACACAAAATAATAATATGGTCGAAAACATCCCGATAATGACTTTGTAAAATATCTAGAATAAAAGCTGTTTTTCCGCAACCCGTTTGCCCGCAGATGATAGCACAGTGCGGTTCTTTAGGTAAAAGATTATTAATAGATCGCTTGCACGAATCGTCCATTCTGTATATTAAGTTGTGCGCAATCATGTACAAATATATGTTTAATTTACCAGCAGATTCCTGGTGCTTCGTTATGTGTAAAGTAAAACCCTCGCTAGCATTTTCTATTCTCCGCCCACTGCTGCGTAGTTGGTCATCGTCCGTTGTTCGCATGTCGAGCCACAGCGCATACTTCGTCGTATAGAATTCAGCCATCGACACATCCCCAAGAGACAGATCTTTCACGACCGCGTTAACTTCTGGGCTTCATTTTATAGAAATCCCACTGTTGATGCTCGCATGCCTTGACTATATAGTTGATTAGGCACGCCCTCAATAGTCAATTCTACTTTTATAATCTTGCGTTGTAGAACTTCTCGGTATCTCTTGCAAATGCATCAGAGGGGTCCTTGAACAACATTAAAATACCCTTCAACAATCCAGCGGGAACGTTTAGATTGATATTCCATGTCGTATCTCTTTTGTTCCTGGTGATCTTTCGATGTCGAAGCACGCGATCGTACAAAATAGCTAAACTTCCAGTATACTGGTTACGAATTTGTCTGGCTAATTCAGGATCTGTTATCATATCATACTCCAGTGAGATATTTTCAATAGAATAGCTAGTACCATCTTCAGCGGCTTTGATTACTCTGCTGTAGTCATTAAAAGTGAGTTTGTATTCTAACCTATCGCCTAGGGATGCTTGATAGAAGGGCATGTGACTATCTAATAATTCAAAGTCTAGCTGAATATAGAATCGGTTAACTAATGCATCAGCAACAGCCTTATCTCCAAGACGGTATTATCAGCACCTACACACAGTCTCAATGTGTTCTGATTACAAATATCTTGGTATTGTAAGTTTTCCCGTTCTTTAGCCGTTCTCCAGAGGTCCATGTAACAGAAATATACATCGCTGTGGTCAATACTCAAAACTTCATTACCTCTAATTTTAATCGCGATTTTCTTAACAATCGCACGACCTATGTTCTGAATGAGCTCTCTGCTAGAGTCGGTAGAATTCAAACTAATTGTAAATGATAGTCGGGCAGTTCCCGGAACTAACACATCGTGTGCGCCGAGATTAGGAAAGCGAACCAGAAGTGTTTGATTCTGATCAATGGTACTCGGGTTATTAGTTATAGTTACAGACTGACAAATTGCTTTGACCACTAATGGATCCCAAAGTCTACGTTGTGGGTTTAACTTGTGTCTGTATTGCGAAGACATTGTTTAAATTGAAATTATGTAACCTTATGTTTAATATGAAAATGGATGATATTAATCTAGATAACATAACTGATACTAGTACAATCGAAGAGGGTACTGATGAAACCAGCTTTACGAATCTTAACGATGAACTTTTGAAACCAGCCGTTAATGATTATTACGATGCCTTAAAAGATGACAAAAAATATGTTAGCCCAATTGGTCGTGACTATTCAAAGTTTACGATAGATAGTAAAGGAATATTGCAACTGAGTGGCTCTCAGGATATTGATCTTATGAATTCTCATTCTCGTAAGCCCCTAGCCTTGTCTACGATAGCCAGTAAACACGACATCAACACTGTTCGTAATGAATTAGGTTTTGTAGACTACTCACGAGAAAAACTTTCTGCGAAGACTACTAAGGTTCTTCGGACTGTGCGTGCTGAACTCGGTTACATAGATAAAGATAATTTGGAAGAAAGCTCGAAAGCTGGCCTCGGATGGACTCGGAGAAATCTTGGATACATACTACGATAATTCCACGTTACAGGTACCATCCCCGGAGTTCAATATTAGGGAATTACGAGGTTTTGACAAGGCAATGCAAACAATGCGGGGAGAACTCATCAATAATATAGCCAAGCTATCTGAACTTGACAAGCATATAGCTTATGAGAAAACAAAACTTGAACAGGCGGGTGATGAGTTCAGTAGGTGCCGCGTTGCTGAAAGATTGCGCAACTTAGAAGATAAAAGATCGGCCCGCTTCGAAGCTGCTTCCAGTAATAGAAAGGCACTTCGTTCACAAAGCAGTCGAATTCGAGAAACTATCAATCAAGTCCTCAACAATGACACTACACAGGCCGATAAAATTAAAACATTGTTCAGAGAACAGGGGATAACCATTGCCAGTATTTTAACCGCATTTTGATTTATAATATCGACTTTGACTCTCGCGTTAACCCGTGGTACAGGTGGTACAGGAGGTGGCACACCGCCTAGTGATAAAAATGGAGTAAAAGAGTGGATAAAAAAGCATTTAAAGGCATTAGGAGAAGCGCTGGGAAAGCTCGCTGGGAAAGCTCGCTGGGAAAGCCGCGTCTGCACTTCCCGGTATAATAGGGAGTATTGTTTCCTGGCTCTTGAATTTATTAGCAAAGACCACCACTTGCTTAGTCAAAACTTGTGGGCACTGATCGTAGCAATTGCTGGGCTGTAGTACGTATCCGCTAAAGTTTATTTATCCAAATAAGAACTATTTATTTTGTTGATCGGAAGCAATAACAATTTTATTATTATAGCCTATCACTTGACCGATCTTAAGTTCCATATTACTCGGAGACATGTATAGTCCCAGCGCATAAACGTAGTCTACTTGGATTGAGCGTACTGTAATACATCTTGATAACGTTTTATAGAAGATGGTATGTCAACTGGTGAATTAATAGCATCCTCCACGTTTGCAACAAACTGTTTTTGTGCATCGAGCGCCGTCCCAGAACCAATTATTCCCGTTTGTGTTTGCAATTTTGCACCAAGAATTGCCCATACATAAGTTCTTATTGATTCATTAACTCTTTCAAATCCTGGGTTAGTAAATATATTTTCTGTTTTATCATTTAGAAATTCATTCCAAGCATCTGTTGTATTGTTTGGATGCACAAACTTTGTAACAATATAAGGCAAGCCACTCTTAAAACTCATAATATCTTCCCTCCAATCATTATTAAAAAGTTGCCAGTTGTGATACCAATTATGAGTTTTTAAGAAAATATTATGTAAAGTTTGCTTCTATGCGACCACCTAAGTGGATCTACTGGGTTTTTTACCATTTCTTGTGCTAAAATATCACTTTCTTCTTTAACAGTTTTTTGTCCACTGTATGGAACACCTAGACCATGGCTAGCTCCTTTAATACGCCAATCTGTTCCCGTAGAAACATTAAATTCATTACAAATATGTTCGAAGGAGCACTAATTTCTTTAAGTATACGTCTAATCTGGTAGTACACGTGAAATGATAAAACAGACTTATTTAGTTCAAATCCTGGGGCATAAAGAGATACACCACATCCTGTTGTGGCACACCATATGGCAAAGTTTAACTGTTTCTGCCAAAATTGCATCGGATTGTGAAACCAATCGTGCACAATTTTATCGCTAGTTGCCGTGACCATGTATTTGTCAAAGATATCAGGGAATTTAACGTATTACTCACAGTGGACCAATATAAGTACTGCGAGAAATAATAAGTTGTATTCTAGTTCAAAGAGACAAAATCACCTTATATCTGATGGGTATTACAGCATACGCTCACTCAACGATGATATTTTTAAGCCTTTGGGAGATAGTCTCACACAAAATGAGTCGAATGGCATGCTGATTTTGGTCAGTGGAGAAGATATTATAATTCTTACCCCGGGCATAGCAGAAACACTTGGACTTATGGGATCAATATTAATACCACCCAACAGACAATTTCATGGAGTTAAATTACCCGATTTAGTTCCCTATAAAGAGTTGTGCATCCATCTTGATCAGATCAGTACAACGGATAATATTCAACTCGAAAGTCCTTCTACTCTGTTGAGAGCTATTCCAGTCAAAGATGAAAAATATAATAGCGGTAGAACGGAATCTTTCTCATCATTACAATATAAAAAATTAAAGCGTGGTATTATTTCAGACCTCAAAATTTCTGTATTAGATGTAAAACATCAACCTGTACATATAGGATACTTGAATGTAACACTCTATATTATAAATAATGGTTGATTCATCAGGCCCTGGAACACTCAGACAATGTAATACAATTGCGCTTTCCGATCTCGGGAGACACAGAAGGATTCGGTAAACCCGGTATCGATGGTATGTCATACGCTTTACACTTACAAGATAATGTATACAAGCGGAAAGAAGTTACATTCACAGGTAATCTAGGAGATTTGAGCGATGTAGACATTAGTAGACTCAATAAAAACACTTCATACAATCTTACTCGAAACAATGATAATAAATGGACTATGATCGAAGAAAAAATCTAGTGGCTACTGAATATTGTCATTAAGGTATTCCCTGTATAATGGGACACTTCCGGTGAAAACTACGACTTTTGTCGATGTTTCCAACATCGGCAATGTTCGGGTGATGTAATACCGAGTAAGAGTTATGCCCCTTATTGTAAACAATCATGGCGACTGACAGAGATAGCTGTGGTCGATTCAAAAAGAAAAAGACCGGTAATCACACCAAAATATTAAAATCGAACGTGCTCATCGACCACAACTACCCAGCTTGTCATGTTTGCTACGGTGATCCTTGCAAGGACGACGACTGTCCACTTTTTCGAAACATCAAACTCGGCAAATACGCAAGCAGAGATGGATGGAAAGAAGGGCGGAGGATCGTCGAGCTCGGGGAACTTCTCTCAAATCTCGTCGCTTGCAAGTACTGCAAATTGGGCCCTATTCCATTAACGTATGGGAATATTGTCGGTGAGATGAGGAAAGGACTTAGCGGCTATTTGTACGTGAAATGTCAGAACGCGGAATGTGGGCAAATAAACATGGTTCCATACGGGAAGACACACAGGGAGAAGAAGGGGAAGTCAGGGATGCCATGTTTTGTTATCAACACAAAGCTTGGAACAGGTAAATTTTATTTTTGTTTTACATTTAATGACCAATAAAATGCTATCATAAAGTTTTGGCATTCCGAGGATGTATAGCACAAATATCGTCCTGTTTTCGATCAGATATTTCAGTGTCATGCCTTTCTTATTGTTCATGTCACGATGATATCATATGTTTTATTAATGTCTTATGTTTGCAATGTTGTCTTATTTTAGCAACGAAAGGTAAGTAAGTATAGTAAGCTTTTTTCCAGTATGCTTCAACATGGGAAAAGGGTCAGACATTGCACGCTTGTGACAGTTGTCCTTGTGTCTTGGGGGTGGGGGGATGAAATTTAAGGCAGTATTGCTCCCAGACCCGGCGGGTACACGGGTGCGCGGTAGCTATGCCCGATTTATAAAAAGTATTGATTTAACTTTGAATTTTTACTGACAACTATATGAACAGGCACACATCCCTCCCTCATTCCTAAAACAATAATATATACATTCATATAATTATATTGTGGCTAATATTTATTTACAGCTATGATCGATAGCGTTGGGGGACCAGACAGGATGAATAATCTCCTTTCAACATTAAATATCAAACCCATCAACCAGAGAAGTTTAAAAAGCATAGAACGGAGGGCTGGAGGCTATGTTGAAGCTGTTGCCAAAAAGTCAACTCAACAGGCTGCAAATGATTCATTTAGAATGGAGATGGAGTAAGTTCTATACAATGTCATAGCAATGTTTGTTTATGAAACTAGTCATTTGTGTTCAAACCAATTGTTAATAACACAAGGATACAATAAACATGGTGGATACTCTGAATCAAATGAATTCATTGTTTAATGACAACTGAGTGTGTAGATATTGTGGAAATCGTCAAATATAAACAAAGAATATCATCTCATATTGGCGTCGGATATTAAAAAAACCACAATTTGAATTTGGAATTCCTCTTTCACTTTGTTGCTCTTGGTCTGCCTTTAACCCATCAGGTTTATTTCTTTGGTACAGAGACATTGCAGAAGAGGAGAGTCGACAAGCTGCAAAGATCATGGAGGAGGTGATAGAAGATTTAGGAGTTTGTCCTCTACCAGACGCACCTCCTGAAATTATGTCTATTCTTTTCTATATATTTTTAGTATGTACATGTATAGCTTGTGTTGAATAGTGGGAGATATGTTCAGATGGAAATAAGATTATTTTGAAAATATTCCATTGTACAATGTATATGCAACTATTGTATATCATTTAGAAACAACAAGACACTTTTCCATAGGTTCAGTATTTCTGTGGGACATGGAAGATCAATCCATCAGATGGGACTGTAGAATAAGTGGTTCCATGAGTGAAATTGTTTTAGCACATAAAAGAACCAATAATTCGGGTTGGTTCTTTGCATTAGTAAAATGTGTTTGCAGCTAAAAAGTTATACAGTTAAATTCCTCCACCACAGAAGTTAAACAATAACTGATCTCAAACAAACATTTTGACAATACATGAAAACAATTTATAATTCATTTTTAATTTTTCAGATTATTGATGTCATCCTACTCCTCTACTGTACCAGTAGTTGATGCTAGTTCTTGTGATGAAAGTGGACATTCTGACCAGACTCCTCAAGCATCGAATATTGAAAGTCCACCAGTCTCATCTTCAAACAGGTGAGAATTTTGACAAAAATTCAGCACAAACAATAGTTTTATTTGATCATGTAGCCAAGTGCATGATTGAGAGTTTAACCAACTAGGCACACAATCAAAATGTTGCCGGTTCGAATCCTAGCAAACCCACTTGATGATGCTTGTTGTGTCCTTAGACAAGTCACTATATCTGCATTGTCTCAGCCCAGCCAGTTAACCTGCAATGGTTCACTGGTGTAACATCCAGGTGGGGGGACCTTATCCTAAGAGCACCAAGGAAACCGGGTATAATCACAGACCTTATTAGGGGCGGTCGGGTAGCCTAGTGGTTAAAGCATTCGCTCGTCATGCCGAAGACCCGGGTTCGATTTCCGACATGGGTACAATGTGTGAAGCCCATTTCTGGTGTCCCCCGCCATGATATTGCTGGAATATTGCTAATAGCAGCGTAAAACCATACTCACTTACTCACAGACCTTATTAGCTTTAGCTATGAAAGGATTTAACTTTTAAAATGTACATGCTGTATTTGATTCATATTTTTGTATTGGTATGCCAGACATGAACATTTATTGATGTGTATCAAAGTTTTCTTTTTATGTGTTTCAGTGTAAACACTCCATCAAATCTAGCCAGCCTTGTTGCCAAAATAAAAGAAATTCCTCAGGCCCCACACAAACAACCCGGCAAGAAGATCTTAATTAACATCTAAGAAGCGTGTGAGACTTGCATCAAGATTTCCATGCAAGACCAGAAGTGGAATGTCTTGTGCAGTTGATACAGCCTGGCATAAAAGGGGATTTGACAGTCTTACATGTAAGTATATTAAGAAATTTGAGGCATTATTTTGTTATTATTACTTTACACAACACTTTGGAATATTTCACCTATATGACAGTGGCCAGTGATGAGTGATGGAGAAACGGTAGAACCCATGTGACTTTCAGTAGGTACTGTGGCGGACCTTCCCATAAAGGTAGAAACATGAGGAGAAAGACTATATGTTCCATCGTAGCACCTTAGTCCACTGGGCAAACGAGGCCCACCCTCACCTTTATTATGATGATTCTGTTTGCCTAAAAATATACTGACATACATGTGCCTCAGCAATTATATTTTAAACATGCAACCAAACTTTTTAACTTTATTTTTAGCACACACGTTCTTTATGAGCAAGGCCAAATATGGAAAGAAGGTAGTTAAAGCACTAGTGGGTCACCGAACATGCGGCACATGCAAGTGGTGGATGAGGAATAGACCTGGACTACCAATCCGAAAGCACAGATGTGTCCTAAATCACTTCGGTAGTGCTCGGTTAATGGAATGTAAAAGTGGGGTTCAAGGCATCAAGGAGCTTTCTGAGGGTGGAACTCCTGTTGATTACCTGGAAGGAGACGGTGATAATACTATGATTGCTCATATCAAATCAGACTTGAACATTACCATGAAAAAACGGTTTGATAGAAATCACGTCGTGAAAAAACATAGGGAAAAGCTTATATGCCTTGCAAGGAAAAAATATCAGTAGGAGTGTGATTATGCACATTCAGAAATGTCTCAAATATGCATTCGCCAAAAACCAAGGGAACAAGGAAGGACTGGAGAAAAATCTCAAAAGCGTTGATTCCTCATCAATTTGGAGATCACAGTTTATGTTTTCCCAGATTCTGTGGCTTCAGACGTACATCATCTAATGAGAAGTTTACTCATAAAAGTTTACCCTACAAAGCAGCTCTCAAAGATGATGAACTACAGTCAAAGCTGAAAAAACTGTTCAAGCCAGTTATTGCTAATGCTGAACAATATGCTGATTTAGGCTCCAGTCAACAGTGCGAACATGCAAATCGCGAAGTCACATTGAGGGCACCAAAATCTTTGCATTATGGAAATTCAGAGTCCCTGGACTTTCGTGTTGCAGCAACAACAGCCTTTATTATTCAACAGAAACTGCTTTTTATTGTTGTTTGTTTTGCAAAAATGTGATTCTATTTTGCTTTTGTTTTCTTTTGATGCATGCTTTTTCATGTTTATTTTTAATGTTTTTGAATTTATGTTGGTTTTTCCTGTTTTTTGTATTTGTAGACTTTCAAAGCAGGGTTACAGTTCCAGTGTTGTAAGTTTGTTTTGTATTTTTCAATGAAATACATGTTACAAAAATATTTTTTTATAAAGTATTCATTTATATTGTAAAAAGAAATTAATAAAAGGCTCCTAAGTAAAAGATAGTCAGAAACAGAACAACAGCATACTATTTTGTTCAGGCTGTGTCAGCAACTCATCCTTCTATTTCAGGTCAACATGGCAGCAGGAATTTCTCCCGGGACATTTTCTGTAAAATATGCTGCTAAGCAAATGAAGCGCAGAAAACGTGTACAACTAAAATCCCAATTACCCTCAACAAAAAGAAGACGTGTTACCCTGAAGCAGGAACGTGTAATCGCACAGGGAGCCAATGAAGTGTTAGAAGGGACCACTTATGAGTCAGGTAAGTTTCATTTTCATTAAACAAAGAAAACTAACAAAACGCTTGTTTAAACTTTATTTTTGCCGACTTCCTCTGACTGCAAATAAATATAAATATAAATAAAAAATAAGTACCATATGGGAAAGTTTTACGTTTTATTACAGTACTTATTTCATTTCACAGGTATTGGGCATACCACTAATGTAGATGTTGAGCAGTTACCTGAAGCAGTACCCCGTGGGAAATTCGCGACTGTATCAGCTGGCAAAGAAGCTACGGTTATTACATTTGACTTGGAGACAACAGACCTAAGTAAGTTTGAATTGATTATTCATCTTTGAATGAACTTTTTGAATGATTACACATTTTTTATTTGTTGTGCCAATAGGTCTGTGATTAGTAAAGCATCACCTAAATAAGCATCAAGTGATACATGTACTTATATATCATATTGTATGTACTTGGATTTTAAAGCTTGAACTTTTTTTCAGTACGTGGAGGAAAAATGCCACATATCACACAGATTGCAGCTTCAGATATGGAAACAGGAAAGGGATTCTCAACCTATGTACTTCCAAAAGTACCAATCTCAACTACAGCTCAACAGGTTACTGGTATCATAGTTAATAATAGTGGTACAATGACGGTCAATGGGAAACAAGTTCAGCCTGAAACTGTTCAGTTTGCAGTTGACAAGTTTTGTAAATGGCTCAGTGGGTTTCCCAATGTATTCCTTGTAGCGAATTATGGAAGAAGATTTGATTTTCCTGTATTTTCATCTGCATTGATCAACATCCAGTGTGAAGCACAATTTTTCAACTGTGTATCAGGTCTTATTGATAGCCTACCTGTCTTCAAGAAGGCCTTTCCTGGACAATCGTCATACAAGCAAAAAGAATTAGCCAAGACCTTTTTGCACTCATCATATGAAGCACACAATGCCATAGAAGATGTAAAGGTCCTTGGTAAGCTAGTATCTCACACAAAGATGAAAATTCAGGAACTTGCTAGGTTCAGTTTCCCACCATCAGCAGTCCACAATCTACTTCCCTTCAACAAAGAAAAGGCCAAACATATCAAAACACTCCATTCTCTCTTAGCCCAAGGTGTCATGAAAATGTCAATTGCCGAGAAAATTGCCGGATCAGGACTGAATCTGGGTCACCTGCGCAAAATTTTTCAGCGTGATGGAGAAGATGGTCTTCGCAATACTTTTACATGTAAAAACTCTGAGGGACAGCCACGTGTGACAGATGTAAAGAAAACCCTTGACAATGTCATTCCGAAATTAGTGCTCTTTCTCAACAAGGACTAAACCAAGCAACAGATGGTTTGTTCTTTCAAATTTGTCATCTTCTGATGGTTATGTTAGTCAGAAATCGTTTTTGTTCAGGTCTGACTGATAAACTTGATGTTGATGTATATGTGAAAATAGAAATGCTTGACGACATGCTTTTGTTGTCTCTGGGTGCAGATGTTCATGACTAAGTTGATTATGATACTTGGAATACATGATACTGTCTCTTTGAATTTTAGAGAAACACCTGATGTATATGTATGTACTAGACACATACGCTCTTCTGCTCCCAATTTGTACATTGTAAATTGTGTATTCATGAGTACTGTATCGCATGCTTTCATTGTATATGGTCACGTAATATAAATAATGTATTGTAAATAGTGTATTTGCCTATCTATCATCTTCGCTTTCAAATCTGTAAGAAATACAGAAATGTATTTATTCATCCATATCTTTATTAGAAATGACTCATTGACATGTACATGGGTTTGACATTTCAATTGTGTAATTTTCCAAAAAATCCCAATAACCTCACATTCTTGAGTAGTATTGTCATGTAAAGGACAATTTCGCAAGTTGAGAATACAGGGGGAAAATCCAAATCCAAGAGAGATTTTCTTTATTTGAAGTAAATATATGTAATTCTCACATGTATTACTCATTTGTTCTTAAGGCTCATTCCCTGCTACAATATTATAACATTTCCAGGGTGAAATGACGCACGTTGCTTGGTTGTTTTTATGTGAACTGCTGCAGGCAAGGCCAATGTCAGAGGTCAAGGTCATTGTCAAGGTGAAAAAAAAAACACAGGGAAATATTCATTGTTTACACATGTTACCATCACTCATTATACTAAGTCACTATATTTAGTATTTTCGAGTTGTTGAGGCTTGGTTCTTTGTGGCATTATATTTGGTCAAACAGAAAAATAGCGGTGGGGGGTGTTATTAGGATTGGGGTTATAATACTAATAAATAATGGTAAATTGTTTTTCTTTTGTCTTGTTTTTATTTTATAGTCACTTCAGATGTTTTTACAGAACTGTTTTCATATCTATGTGTCTTGTTTGTACTTCCAGAGCAATAAATACAATGTCTCAATTGAAAAAAGACATGGAAAAAACAAGCATTAGAGAAGCCTAATTACAAGTTCACATGTTGAATGCCTCAATACACTACTTCTGCAATGAATTTACTGCTTATATTTATAAACTTACCGGTACATGATTTCCCTGCTGATATATATCTATTATGAAATATTTAAGAAATAAATGCCAAGTTCATGATCATTTGAACATACCCCTGTTCCATGATTTTGAATTTTGTAGAAAGGGGGGTGGGCGTATAAAAGTTAATGAAACAGATTAACTGAACGGTGAATATTGATAAAACTTTAAAAATAAATCCAGGGAAGGGTGTATATGATAATAAAAGAAAGTGTTTTATGATTTTCAAAACTGCCCATTATACAGGGAATACCTTAACCCACCTTATGTGATGATGGGTAAGGCACATAATTTAACTAAGATAATAAATAGTGGGATCGTACTCAGGGCTTATATCCCATCAAAACGAAAAAGTGTGTTAGTCTCTCCCCTGCCAGACAACCCAGGTCATATGTTATTGAGTCGTCCGGCATCAAAAAACGTTATCACCCATTGCAACGCTTGAGGGGGTCCAATTTATTAAAAGTGACAGCATTTCTCTTACTAAGATATTCATGCTGTATAATATACATTTAATAATGTTGATGTATACTCTCAAAACATTGAAGCAAGACCAATTAAAGACTATTATATGATATGATAATAATCACTATGGGTTTATATCCGGTGCTCGATGAAGCATCTGAAAAGATGGATACTGTTGATGGATTTCAATTACATCAAATAAGCGACATAAAACATCGAATAGAGAAGGAGACGGAGTTGAGACTTGGATTGTATAAAAAGTACCGCAGAGCTGTGAATGCTCTCGACGGAGCTGACACAGCGCTTTTAACAGCTAGCATGGGTCTTGGTGCAGCCGGTGTTGGTTTATTATCAACTATAATCGCCACGCCTATAGTACTTGGCATGGAAATAGCCGCCGGAGTCTCAGGACTGGCAGGAATAATGATAAAATTTATTTCTAGCAAGTTGCAAAAGAAAGCATTAAAACATGATAATATTCGGATACTCGCCGAAGCAAAGTTGAACAGCATTGAGGACCATATTTCAACAGCAATGGCTGATTGTAAGATATCCGAGGAGGAGTTTCGTTTAATGTTGTCAGAACTCACCAAATACAACGCAATGAAGCAGGAGATTCGATCAAATTCTTGTAAGACCAGTGGTATTAGTGAAGACGAGAAAAAAATTGTCATAGAACAGGGGAGACAACAAGCGCGTCAATTATTCCGTGCCAAAACCAAAGAACTTGTTGGAGATTAGAAATAGATTGCTTCCTATCATTAGATTGCACCGCATAAAAAATCATACATTCATTTAAACGAATGCTTACATAAGTATATAATAATGGAAAATTACAAACCAACAAAGGGAGAACTCGAAAAAGCTATCGAAGCATTTATGCTCAGGGACAAAATTACCAAATGGAGAGAATTACCACATGGTATATATACTGAGTCAAATTAAAAACTTCACATTTTTAAAAGTAATCCCATATATGATATACAACGGACAAATGTATCAGAGAAGGTAATTTTTAATCATTAATGTCCAAAGAAGGATTTTAATTTACGGTTGTAACCATAATTTGTTCCAAGCACCTACGGTATTCGGTAATAACATCAACAGTTTAAATCATAAGTCCCAAGCACGAGAATCTGATGGCACACAAGTTCAGTAGCGTGTATGGCCACAATGTGCATTGACAACTGCCACACAACGCCTCTGCATGGACCTTGTGATGCTTGTGAACACATGATTGGATAGACGACGCCATTATTGCTGCAAAATGGCGCCAAGATCTTGCAAATTCTGTGGTTGGTTCTGGAGAGTGCGCAGACTCCTGCCAAGAGCATCCCTGACGTGTTCGATGGGATTGAGGTCGGGAGACCTTGACGGCCAGTCCATGACGTTGACTCCCGCATTCTGAAGGAAATTCCTTGTCAAAATTGCTGTGTGGGGTCTGGCATTGTCGTGTCCATGTACTGCCATAAAAGGCAGAAGTTCTGGTGCCAGTACCTGGTCGCGGTAAGCAGCAGCGTTGAGGTTGCCACGGATGACAAGAAGCCTGGAACGTGCATTGCCACAGAAAGCACCCCACACCATGACACTTCCGCCTTGAAATCTGTCAACTTTCTGTACACAACACTGGGCATAACGTTCATGACGGCGCCTCCACACCCTCGCCCTACCATCAGCAAATCGAAGATTAAATCGGGATTCATCACTGAAGACGACTTGATTCCAATTCCTCTGAGTCCATTGTATGTGTCGCTGTGCCCAAAATTGACGTTGACGTTGACGTCTGTGTAATTGAGTCAGAATCGGCCAGCAGTATGGCCGTCGTGCTTGAAGGTGAGCAGTTCTCAGACGGTTTCGAACAGTTTGCGCACTCAGTCTACCCCTAAACAGTTCATTTCTGGTTGATGTAGCTGTCAAAAATCAGTTACGGAGGTGACGTAAGACAATCTGACGATCCTCTGCATGTGACGTCACACGTGGTCGACCTGGCCGAGGGCGATCAGCGGTGGTACCCGTTTGCTGTAGATGCGTCTGTAAATCATAAACAATCCGTCGACTACAACCCATTGTCCTTGCGACTTCGGCTACGGACGTTCCCGTCTGCAACATGCCGATGGCACGTTCACGTTTCACATTTGAAAGGCGTGGCATGACAAATGGCCGTAAAGACTTTTGTTTTCTTGTGTTTTTCTTTTTTTGTTAATGACTGCTAACAAGTATGGCTGAAAACACGTGCAGTATTATGGCCACGTGACCAGTTGCACGTGAAAAACCATTTTTGACACTATAGTGCTGTGCACATGATTTTGATCGATTTACCTGCACAAAAACGGGTGTTATCTGAAGACAATATGTGGCCATTACTGTTTAAATACACAATAAGGGCCCACAATAATAACTGGTCAAAATGTTAAAATTTTAGGATTGTGAAGTTTTTAATTTGGTTCAGTATATTATATCAGTGATATCAAACCAACCAAATACGGTCATCAATTGTTTCTTTACCATTACCAAGAAGAGTATATAGTCTGGTCTCCCAGTAAAATGAACGAAGAACTTAGCAAAAATGTTGAATATCACTTTGTTAAAAATTATGGTATACGTATGAGTAAAAATAATAGAGAATATTTTCATTACAATTTAGTTTAGTCTCATCATTGTTTTAGTACAAAAAAATTCCCTCTATGGTATCATTGATTGGCCCCAGGTAGTGGTGAGCTAGAGCCAATTTAACTTAATCTCATGATGATCGTTGATGCGCATCATCGTTTTTGCATTAAAAATTCCCTCTGTAGTAGCGGTATAGATATATAAATCTGGCTCCAGTGGAAGTGGTCCAGAAACACCATTACCTATACTACTCTATTACATCAGAGTCAGAATATACCTGAGGGAACTGTGGGTTCAGACATCTACTAATACCTTGGACAGTTAATAGACTTAACAGGATAATAACCCAAACTTCCTGATATTGTGTCTCTTTCCATAAATTCAGTATTATGGGTAATTCAGTAATCTTCCAGACCATGACTTCTTTGACATCAGTTCTGATGGTAAGTAGAAGGTGGTAAATGTATTTCAGTCCCATGCACCTCCACTTCTTGGCTTCTATCCCTCTGGAAGAACAAGTTCAATCTGTTGTCATAGGCGGCAGAAGAGGAAGTTCTCCAAGATCTAGCAACTGCTCCTGAAGCAGTCTTGGAGTACAATGTAGTCGGATGCTTGTATCTTTTGCATGATAATTTTCAAGTGTCATAAACAATGTCTGATGTGGGTTGGAGTTGGAGGAGGACATCTTTCTCAATCTTCCTCAGAACTCTAGAAGAGGCCAAAGAGGTGAGGCATATGCAAACAACCCTGTATA